GCATTTGAGGAGAGTATTCCCAGAGCTCCAAACTCAGAAGGGGGAGGGAACTGGCAACCAGGAGAAAAGATGCCGTATTTCTTAGGTCACCCAATGAGTTAGGCTGAAATGTTCTTTTCAGGGAGGATCACATTTAGCTTCGCAGTTGCACAATATAATGCCATATCAAGCTAAAAAAAAAAAGAAAAAGCTTATACCCTACTACACAAATTTCTAATTCTTATGGACAGCACCGAGCACAGAATGCTAATCCTGGGAGATCTCCGCTGCGTAGTATAAAGTCCTACTCTTACTGCTACGCCATTTGCAGAAACTGAATTGAATGATTAATGCCTCGTGAGAATCTTAGAAGCTAGAAGGATAGGAAAGCGAAACTGGCTCCACTGAAGACAAGTGAGATAGTTGAATGCCCATCTTTTGGTTGAGGGACACACACACACAGGGCTTTTTTTATCATAGAACGCCCAGAACGGAGTTCCGGCACCTTTTTTGGATGGAACCTTTAGGGTAGGCAAGGTGGGTTGTATAATGGGTGTGAGTTCTGGCGCATTTTTTTTTTTTTTACAAAAAAAGCACTGCACATACACACACACACACACACACACAGCGGTTGCTGGAATTGGGTATGTCTAGTTTAATGAAGAGAAGGACAGGATAGCAGTGTTCCAATATTACAGGGGCTGCCAGAAAGAAGAGGGAGTCAAGCTATTCTCCAAAGCGCCTGAGGGCAGGACAAGAAGCAACGGATGGAAACTAATCAAGGAGAGAAGCAACCTGGAACTAAGGAGAAACTTCCTGACAGTTAACCAGTGAAACAACCTGCCTCCAGAAGCGGTGAATGCTCCAACACTGGAAGTTTTTAAGAAGAGACTGGACAGCCATTTGTCTGAAATGGTATAGGGTTTCCTGCCTGAGCAGGGGTTGGACTAGATGACCTCCAAGATCCCTTCCAACTTTATTATTATTATTATTTAGACACATACATGTTATTTAATGGCAGGATCATGGAAAGTTGAGGGACTGCAATAATAATCATATATGTTGGCAGAGAATTTCAGGAAGAAATGCATGGCACAAAAGCCCCTCTTAAACACCAAGTATGGGAAAGAAGAGAACAGGATTTACACCTAGGATAAAAAAGAAAAAAGTAAAGCAAGATGATAATTTGGGGGGGGGAGGTGTAGGAGGTTCGAGAAAAATATCTTAAACTTTAAAATAGAGCTTGGAATAGAGGCCACTTGATATGGTTGTAAATTTGAAAGACACTCAGAATTCCCCAAGAAATAAATGTGTGTTGGGAAAAAGGGATAACAGAGGACACTTCCAGAAAGGAACTATGCAAAATTAAAATAACAGAACAATGGAAGGGACCTTGGAGGTCTTCTAGTCCAACCCCCGGAAACCCTATATCATTTCAGACTAATGGTTGTCCAATCTCTTATCATAAAAACCTCTAGTGTTGGAGCACCAACACTGCACGTGAAATCTAGTAATGGGATCCTAGCTAGAGAAAACCTGAGTTGGTTAACTTCAAGGTAAGGTCAGCATTGGGCTACAGTAAATATTCATGCATGGCTTAGACCAGGGGTAGGCAACCTCGGCTCTTTTATGACTCATGGACTTCAACTCCCAGAATTCCTGAGTCAGCTATGCTGGCTCAGGAATTCTGGGAGTTGAAGTCCATGAATAATAAAAGAGCCGAGGTTGCCTACCCCTGGCTTAAACTGACAGTGTTAACAGATATCTTCTAGATCAGGGGTCCTCAAACTTGACCACTTTAAGACTTGTGGACTTTAACTCCCAGAATGCCTGGCTGGGGAATTCTGGGAGTTGAAGTCCACAAGTCTTAAAGTGGCCATGTTTGAGGACCCGTTCTAGATTACATATGTATTTCCAGGAAGTTAGACATCTAAACAATTAAGAAAGCACATATCTATGATACTTTCAAAGTACAGATAGTCCTCAACTTACAATAGTTCATTATGTGACCATTAGAAGTTACAGCCGCACTGAGAAAAGTGACTTATGACCATTTTTCACACTTATGACCCTTGCAGCATCCTGATAACCCCATGATTTACATTCGGATGTTTGACAACTGACTCCTATTTATGACCGTTGTAGTGTCCCGGGGTCATGTGATCCCCTTTGGCAACCTTCTGACAAGCAAAGTCAATGGGGAAAGCAGATCCACATAACGAGCGCGTTACTAATTTAAGAACTGCAGTGATTCAACTTGACAAATGTGGTGGGAAAAGTCGTAACAGGGTACAAAGCTCACTTAATACATTTCTCACTTAACAACATAAATTTTGGGGTCAACTGGAGTCATAAGCTGAGAACTACCTGTACTTCACGGTTCCGATATTAGCATTCTAGTTTACTGGGCTGTTCTTTAACTGAAGAGCATGGATGTGGTCACTGAGCTCAGGCAGAATTTTGCATGATAGGTCATGGCAAAACTGTGTTCCTCCACCCATCCCAAATTGTTACGCTGCTGTTCAATCAAAGTCACACTCATGTACCCCGCCTTCCCGCAGAGCAACCCCTGGGGAAGCTGCTTGCTCAACAGATCCTTGTAACCCTGACAAAATAACATCATTCAGTTTCACATCAATGGCACTTTCAACCTTACAAAAGACCTCTTACCAGCTGTTAACGGCTGGCTGTGCCAGATGATCAAATGTAGCCAGCTGAGTAGCCAAAAGAAGAACTTTGAGCCTTACCCCCTCCACATCCCCACTACACACACGATCAGGAGCACAAGTCAACTTCACTACAATCAACAGGTGTGTGGCAGAGGTGGATGTTACACAGTTGTATAACAGAGACAAAGAAGACCTCGTAATTATGCCTGGAGTTGGGTCAGTTTCATCTTCACTGATTTGAAAGAACATTCATTCATCTTTGCCTACTCTTTAGCCTCTGCAAACATTCCGCCATCATTTTTTTCCAAGTAAAAACTAGGGATGGGGAGACAACATCACAAAAACTGTTTTAATGATGACAGCATGCTAAGGGAAGGGTTTACAAGAAGTGGAAGATGAAAGGGTAAACAGGGATTTTTTTTTTTAAAGGCAGACGCTTCTTGGAAGCCCAGAAGCAGAGAATGAAGACCACAGTTCTGCCTTGCTACACTCCCCAAAGCAGAATGTCTATGGAGATTCTCAGTCATCCAGGTCATGGTTGTCCCCAAAGTGCTTTTTCAAAAGGCAACTGGACTTTGTTTTTTTCTTGAAGATGTTTCAGTTCTTATCAAAGAAGAAGCTTCTTGGATGAGAGGTGAAACGTCTTCAAGGAAAAAAACAAGTCCAGTTGCCTTTTGAAAAAGCACTTTTGGGTCCCCAAAGCAGGTACTCTGCCCCTAATCTACCTGGATTCTTCAGGCACCTGAAAAGAGAAGAAGTCCAATACATTTGCTATCAGTCCAGAGTGCAGGACCCAGAATCATGAATTTAAGACACAGGGAGGCCGACTCCATTTGAATATTGGTAAAAAAAAAAATCCCTACAGTACAGGCAGTCTGACAATTAAATCAACTACCCAGAGATCTAATAGATATACTCTTCACTGGATATATTCAAGCAGGAGCCGAACAGCCATTTATTCGGAAGGCTTTTATATGGGTCCTTCCAACCCAATGTTTCTAAGGAAGTTCCATTAAGTTTAGACTAAACTAAGTTCATTGGTTTATACACACTGCACAGAAAAAAAATGGGTGGAGCTTCAATTACGCCACTGTGGTTGCTGTCTTGATTTATTTTTGACATCAGGTGGGCACCGCTGAATCAAGGATAGGTATTCCTGTAGCGAACAGTCATTCACAGATTAAAGTGTGGGTTGTTAAGTCAGTGGTCTCATCCTGTACTATCGGTTTTGAGTTCCACAGCTTAGTTCCCTCTGTGAAAAACATGGGAAGGAGAAAACCAAAGACCCTTCTTGATCATTCACTTTGTTGCCCTACAAATCTCACAGCCGACAGCAGCTGTCTGCTAGTAATTTTCATGCTTTGCTTACTCTGAAAATGATTTGGAAGAAGTATTTTGGAACTTACTGAAAGGGTGCGTCTCTTGCCGTTCATTAATGCAGCCACACTTTTTTCATGCTCACATGGAAACCTTAAAAAAGTTGGGCTGCTTTCACAAACAGCCCAAAAAAGATACACTCTTCCAAGGGCCAGAATACTTCCAAATTATTTTGCAAAAAGTGCACAATCCTAGTAATTTTCTTCATCATGGCCTGTATTCAGTCTCATCTCACATGGCAAAGTCATTCCCATTTTCCTAGACCTTCTGAAATAGGAATAGTAAACATTTAAAAGGAAAATGTACAAAAATTGGATATAAAACTTTTCCCAACTGAATGGATGTCAGTGATTATTTCTTTGCCCTTTATAATTATTTCAGGGGTTTTAAATAACACAGGACTAACCCTAACATAGCAGAGACATTCCCTCATACTCACATGGTGCTGTGCCTTTTCCAAAATGCTATCAACAAATATGATCTAAACAGGAAATGCTGATTTATCCCTTTGGAATCACTGGCTCATTAAAGTGTTTTAGCTGAGTTTTAGTTAATAATTTGGTTAGGATTATTTAACTGAAAGAATCTTAACTTCTGATAAGAATCTTCATCTATACAGATAATCATTACACAGAACAAAAAACATTCCTCTTTTCCCAAGAAATCATTACAGTATTGCTCTCTAGAGGAGTCAGTAAGTTCCTGACAAACTCCAAACTGTGAAGTCAAGATGACAGGCCAGGAGGAGGCAAGGACAAAGCACTACCATAACTCTGTCATTAAAACTGAATAGATCCAGTCACCACTAATCAAATTTGACTTTAAGGCTAGCTTTATGTTAAAAAAAAATAAGGTCAAGAAGGATCATTTCCTTGGAATCTAACTTAAAATCGTTTTTGGATATTTTTGGGGGGAGAAATGGTTATTAAAAAGTAATGCTATTGTGACTGAAGCATTTGAAAATATGTCTTTTACCTGAACTGCGATCCAGCTGGCATTGACAGAATACTCCCCAAATGGACCAAACCCTGAAATCATAGGAAAAAAAAAATATCTTTTTTTTATCATGGCATTTTTTTTAATTGAAAATTTTTGCAATTTTACAATAAAATCCCTCTCCCATACTTCCCCACCCTCCCAGAAACCCTCCCCCCATCTTCCCAGAGCTGAATACAGGGTTAACTAGAACTAAAAATACAAAACATTTAAACTTAAGTAAACCTCAAACAAAAATTACATTAAAAAAAAACAAATTTTTAAGTACTTTAAGTCCAATATATATATATAATAAAAAATACTTATTATCTTAAACTTTAAACATAAATTATTCAAAAGCTAAATAATATCTTTTGATATCATACTTATATTGTATAAAGTTTATCCATCTTTTCCACACCAAGAGATATTTCTCTTGCGATTGATCTTTCAAATAAGCTGAAATTTTTGCCATTTCAGATAAGTAAGAAACTTTAAAAAAACATTCCTCCAAAGTAGGCAAAAATTCCTTCTTCCAATATTGTCCTATAAACAACCTTGCTGCTGTAATTAAATTTAACATTAAAATAATTTCTTTATCATCACAATCAACAATAATACCTAACAAAAACAATTGTGGAGTGAATTTTATCCTTCTCTTAAAAATTTTTTTAATATTCCACCATATATTTATCCAAAAAGCTTTTATACTTTTACATGACCACCAAATATGATAATACATTGCATCCAAACAACCACATCTCCAACATTTAGGTTGCAAATTTGAATACATATGAGACATCTTTTGTGGATCAAGGTGCCATGTATAAAACATTTTATAAAAATTTTCCCGTAAATTTTGAGCTTGCGTAAATTTAACATTTCTTACCCAAATTGTCTCCCATGTTTCTAATAAAACCGGCTCATCAAAATTTTGACCCCATTTAACCATGCAATCTTTAACTAATTCTGTTTCTGAATCCAATTCCACTAATACACCATAAATTCTTTTTATATGAGATCGGCTTTGATCTTTAATTTGTTTCAAAAAATTTTCATCCTCTCTAATCAAACCCACTTTATAATCTATTTTCCACCCTCATGGCATTTGTTTTTAGGCAGCGGTGAGCAGTCAAACTCTCTTCCTACTTCCCAACTACCTGTTAAAAGAGGTTAAAAAGGTAAAGGCACCTAATGAACTTTCTGTAAGGATTTGAAGATCAGTTTCCTGCATCTTTGTCACCACCATGAAATTCTCACTGTTTGAGTTCACCTACTATACTAGTGCAAGGGATTTTTAATTTGCTTTTGGCTTATCTTATACAAACTTAGTAATAGTAATAGTAGTAAAGTTGAAAGGGACCTTGGAGGTCATCTAGTCCAACACTTACTATGATAGGTGAACTAAGTGGGACATGCCTAGGATTCCTTGAACCCGACTTTCTCTAAAAATACCCATTTTAAAAGTTTGAAGAAAATAGATCTTTTCTCCATTACTCTGATTGTTCAAAATGTGATTGATAGCAAGTTACTTAGAACCAGCTACAGAGATTTGCCAAGAATGTGATGGAATTCAGATTATACACCTGCACAGAGAGGCTTATTTATTATATTAGCCCAATTAACTTTACAGGCAGATGTCTTCTCCTGATTAATCAATTTAGCCAGAAGACCAAATTTACATGATCTATGCTCTCCTTAAACCTACTCACTCACACCCCAGCCTGATCCTGGGCACGCTTGCTGTACTTAGAAAATAATGGATACTTTCTTCAATGAAACTTAAGAAAAGACGCATAGGTCTAACTATCTTGGGAATTTCTACAAATAAGGAAATATATACTAAAGGCCTAAGCATCAAGGCCTGACATATATATACTAAAGGCCTAAGCATCAAGGCCTAACACTTTTAAGAGGGTTAGGACTTTACATAGCAAGGAAAACAAAGTGATTTCTCTCTAATTGAAAAAAATGGAGATCTACTACCCAGACAATATGTACAGATTTGGCCCAAACAAATCAATAAGTTTGAGGGGGTCCTTGATGTTCTCTATACTTGGCTGTTTTCTTGCAACTGTTTCATTACCCAAACTAGATAATATCATCAGTGCTCTTTTCAACCTTGAACTACAATATTCTCCTTCATTAAATCAATAGTTTGCTGTGATCTCAAACAGTTCCTTATGCAGCACATCGTGGTTGAGTCACCTGATATGGAATAAAAAATATTTTTGAATGTTTATTACATTTTCCCCCAAAGAACCAAACTAGTTTTTTCTTCTTCCACAATCTGAAGAGTCCATTACTTTTAAAAAAAACAAACATTGTGGTTCTTTAAAGTCAAATATACAGCACTGTTTTATATTGTACTTCTTTATATTGTACATGTTCAGGAGAAAGAGCAATATAAAATTAAAATGAATGTACTGTCCTCAGAATAACTTTTCACATCAGCATAAATGTACCTTGATATTGTGCTAGATCAGTTACCCATTCTGCACACTCTTATGTTTACTCAGAAGTAAATACACTAATCTCCATGGGATTTTACTCCAAAGCATTACACATGTATCATGGGTGAATTCTCCTGCTCACATTTGCTGCCTTCCCATCTTTCTTGCTTTGGTCTCCCCATTGTTCTTCCGCCTTGGACAGTGAGATGGGTGGCATATAAATTTAATAAATAAAATATAAATATAACAACATTAAACACACTCCCAGCCCAAGAGATTGGCAGCATTCACAAGAGGTCAGTCAATTTCCGCTTCAAAGCTTTTCAAACTATGTAAAACTGAGGCACAGAGTGACAAGGTGTCTATTGCACTAAGCCATAATTTGGTTTGTCATCATAGTTTATAAGACAGGGCTTATGTTTTAGATACTTCAATGAACAATGGTTAGTAAACATTGCATATAAACCCAGTTTATATCTCTAGGGTGCATTTCTATCTTCGCTATTTCTAATTTCCCAGAGAATTGGTTGCTCAGCAGTTTGTCAAAGAAAACAAAATCTTTCCTTAAATCTATTGGGTGTGAAGTCTTCCATATCTGGTTTTACACACTAAGCACTTTCTGGGAAAAGCAGATTTCCAAAAGAATATACAGTGTCTGAAACTCAAAGAAAGAATGGCATGCTTTGGCTTTTTTTAATGAATAACTTTGTTAACTAGCAAGCCATAACTAGTATTTGTAGATGTTCTACCCCAAGTAAAGGTTTAAAATGTTCGAGATGGGTGAGATGTCACATTTTTTTTCAATGAGGACAAAACTCAGCAGCACTTTTTCGTGCGGCTGCTGATAAAAACAGGATCGCCAACATGATCGCCAATGTCCGATAACGGATATGGCACAAGAAGAAGAAGAAGTCCTCAACTTACAATCATTCATTTAGTCCAGGGGTAGGCAACCTTGGCTCTTTTATGACATGTGGACTTCAACTCCCAGAATTCCTGAGCCAGCCATGCTGAGGGGAAAGGGAGAAGTTTCCAAGCTGAGCCATGCTGGCTCAGGAATTCTGGGAGTTGAAGTCCACAAGTCATAAAAGAGCCAAGGTTGCCTACCCCTCGTTTCGTCACTGTTCAAAGTTACACCGCACTGAAAAAAGTGACTTAAGATCAGTTTTCAAACTTACGACTGTTGCTACATCCCTATGGTCATGGGATCAAAATTCCAGCGCTTGGCAACTATTTATGACAGTCACCACTGATCCAGGGTCTCGTGATGGCTATTTGTCATCTTCCCAGATAGCTTCTGACAAGCAGAGTCAATGGGGGAAGCCAGATTTACTGAACAATAGCAGCAATCCACTTATCCACTGTGGCAAAAGGTTGTAAAATGGGACACAATTCACCAAACTGCCTTGCTTAGCAACAGAAATTTTGGTAGCAATTGTGGTTGTAAGTTAAGGATTACCTGTATTGTGCTTGAATGGCTGCCCCATTGCTCCTAGAGCAGCAGGTGGAAGGAAGAATCAAGGAAAAAATAGCCTACTGGAAAATAATGCACAGTATTCAAAAGTGCCTAAATATAAAAAAAAAAAAGCTTTTCCTAACATTACCACAAAAGACTCTTGATTGCCTACAGCAGCATTTTTATTCATCATAGCTGAACAGGTATAAGTATTCAAGCAAGACACAAAGCCTTATTTCCAAATAGTTGTTTGTATCATTACAAACTGTTATACATGAACACAAAACAATTAGGAAGTCCTTCATGTCCCATTGATGTATGGAAGCAATTGTTCTGGACTGTGTCATTTTAGAGCAAAGAGATACCAAAGTATTAAAAACAAGATTTCTAAGATTAGATTATAAGACAAAAGGCTTATTTAGAGTAGAAGGGCTGCACATACTATACTGCAATGTGGTTTGAATCATTTTGGCTGTGTTGTGTGAACTCAGCCGCTGTATTTTGTAAAGCACTATTTATGACTCAACATGTGGTGTAAATTAAACCTATTGTGGTTCATTGATTATACCATGGTTAAACTAATTCCATTTAGCGCAACATGTGAACTCAGTCAGACTTATTATTTGACCCAGTCACATCTGTCAACATATGCCAATGCCTCAAAGACATTCTCCAAAAGGCAGTATTTTGCCAGCATGCCCACTATACAGTATATAGTTCTCCATATTCTTTGTTGTCAGGAAGAAAAAAAGGTTTTCACCAAGGTTTCTGTGCCTGATTGTACTCACCAGAGATACTACGTACATCTGTTTAAAACCAAAGTTTTTAATTCTCTAAAAATCTATCCTCTTTTTGAAAATATAGTTGTAAAAGCTAAGTGTAATTCCAGGGACCTGAACATTCTACAGGTGCCGGCTACATAGCCAAGGCACCAAGAAATGAAGAGAAGCCCCCCCCCCTTGCTCCCCCTCACCCCCAGGCAGAAGGCTTCTTTGTGCTCCCTTCTTTCTTGCTTAACCAAGGCTGTTGCTATCAGATAAGAATTCAATAGAGTATTTTGGAATCCCTTTGGGCACCCTCTCACTAGAAGCAGCCAAGGCTAATTAGCAGGAAACCAGCTGCTCCCAGCTGCCAGATTTTTATGGGATTATCTTGATACTGAAAGGAGCTACACGGACACGCACATGTTATTCAGGGCACTTGGCATGAGTTGGTGCATCGGAGCATGCCAATAACATAGGTACCCATTTTAAGATTTTATCCTGACCAGGATCTGAAAAATGGATCTGAAAAAAGCTGCTTTGTATCCTATATTCCACATGTGTGTGGATACTTCACACCACAGAGCATGAACTGCAGCTTGCCAGAAAGCTCCCATTTCAGCCTCTGCAAGGGGACATCATCGCCTGGCACCCTTGCCAAGAGTTCACTGGACTCTTTCAGCTCCAATTAAGGCCGTAACAGTAAATCCCAAGGGCGCCTCCCTACTGCCACAACTCCAGCCACTGATGGGGCAGGGCAGGTGGAGCTGTGTCCGTCAGTCCCCCAGTCAAAAGACTGTTCTCATGCAGCCTCACCACTAACAGCAACCCCCTTTTGTGCCCCGCAAGTCTTTCAGAGATGGGCCTCTCCTTCCCGCAACTTCATGTTGCCCCTCCTCTCCAGCCCAACTTGCTGTTTCAAATAACCACTGCAGGGCTGAGGGAGCTTCAAGCAGTTACTCTTCCTTTGAAAGCATTTTTACTGTTACCAGGGAGTGGTTTGGGGGGCTACACTGATTTAGGAGCTCAGGACCCGGAGGGAATCACACAGGCGGGGGAAATGTGACTTCAAGACCTCTTGAATGACTTCAGATTTACCAGCTGCCATCAGACTGTCTTTTGGAAACAGAAGGAAGGTACCCAACAGCAGGGAGGGGTAGAAGGGGAGAAAAATAGCTCTCACACACAACCTCTATGCAGATCCCACAGACAAATGTCCACACAGAGATGTCCATACTTCAAATGTCCATACATTTCATGGCACTTTTCCCAGGAGGACAATCAGATGTTTTTCCCCCTTAAAATGGGGAAAATGAAAAAAAAAATATCTACCATATTACTAACAAGTAGCACCACCTTGAAATGGTGACAACAACACACTTTCTATATCAGAATAACCCCTAACCTTCTGCTAAACAAGTCACACCCGAGGTTGTGCAGTGAGACTCACTAAAAGATCCTCACACATCTATGTGTATCTTACACAGAGTAGATTCCTTCTACTACTCCTTCTCTCCCTTCACCAACCACTGCTAAGGAGCCTCCTTGCTCATCCACCCCCAAACATTCATTTCTAATAAACTCAAGTTTTTGTAGAAAGATGAAGCATTATGAATAAGTATAAACAAACATGACAAAAAGCTTCTCACTAGTTGGCAATAGCCTATGGGGGCATTATTACAAGAGGCGAGTTAGCAAGGCTAAGGAAAATTAAAAGAGAATAAAAGATTTACGGGAGAGACAAATACTGAGAGGAACACGGGGAGCAAGTCATGGGTTGAGTACATTCACAGATAAATCAAACAGGACCGTTTTTAAAGAGGATTGCATTACTCGATCCAGTTAATCCGGAATATCAATACTCTGGAGAACGCAACATTCAGGAAGGAATGGGAAAAGACATACTTCACGTGGAGTTTTTTAAAAAAAAAACCACAGGACGACCCACTCTGTTATATGCTTAAAAGAGAAAGTTTATTGAAGGAAGAGGAACAAATTACTCCATGGGGCTTATATTACATTATACATCTCCCCTAACCAGCAAAAAGAATGTCAGGCTTTAATGTTTGTGCTGGGACCAAAAGAAAAGAGGAACTATTTTGGGGGGGTTACTTAATGCGGGGGGAAGACGAAGCTCAACCCTCAAACCTTCCTCTTCCCTCCCCCTTTGGAATGGTCCCACTCCTCATAGCCCCCCCCCTTCCTGTTGTCCTCTCCCTCCGCCCTTACCAGTCACCACTACGGGCCGCCGGGTCTTCTCCATGGCTTTGCTTCCCTCGCTCTCTTCTGCCCGACCAACTTGAGGCGACTGACTGGAGGAGTGAGCAGCAATCCCGCCCCACTCAGGGCCTAGACCCCGCCCATTGGAGGAGATCGCGTGACCACACCCAAACCCCACCTACTCGCAGCAGAAAAGGCGGAGGCACGGCGCAGGGAAGAAAAACAATAGAGGAAGAACGCTTGCAAGGCTAGAGCGGCACAGCATATTTATCTTTGCTTTTTAATAGTGCAGTCACAAAGCTTGTTCTTTCCCAATCTCCTTCAGTACAGGACAGCAGAGGTTCTGCTCCATCAGCACATCGTCCATGCTAAACTGCACTGATTAATGGCCATGACTTCCATTCCAAAGTCCCCTGGGAGTTGTAGTTCTTTCCCATTAATCCTATTAACCTTTGGTCTAATACCATTTTTATTTCTATAATGGTATTGTTGCTGTTATCATTATATGCTGCATTTCTTACAAAGATGCTTTGACAAAATAATTATATGGGAATGCCTTATCCAGGATTATCAGATCCTCCCTAAGGCTTTGGATAAATATTTTTCTAAGCCCCACCAGGCTTTATAAAGTAGACCTTTTGCACACAAAGTATATGCTGAATTACTCAGCTAACCTAGGAGAAATCAAAGTTTGTCACAGTTGTCTGTACTTTATCTTAGCTACAGTACTTGAAATAAGCAGCTGAGTCAGCTAAACTATGTAATGAAACCCAGCCAATATCATAGCAAGAACAAAGGTTGCATTCCTGTTACTATTGGTGTATGGTCTGAAAAGGATTTTAAAGCAAACAATTACCAGATACCATTGACTTGCTTGACTATTTTTTCCAGGAAAAAACTGCCGGATGTTTAATCTTTATACAGTATGTAACCTTTACCTCTGGCAAAGATCTTCTCAGGTATTTGTGCTAAGTGTAAAATGTGTTTATTTCCAAACTTTCATTAGGAGCTCAAGACAGTAAGGTATATGTAATAATCCCTCTTATTTTTCTCCAGAACAACAAACCTGCCGAATAGATTATGCTGAGATAAACCAATGGGTCCCTTTCATCCAGAGCAAGTGAAAGTGCACTAGAATCCAGGTCTTCTTACATTGCAACATACAGAATATTTATCATACTGTATTCTTTGTTCTTTTCAAGAAACATTAACTTACTGTAGTAGAGATAATACAACCTTTTGCAAACATCCTCATATGTCTTAAATCAGGTTTGTAAAGATCGGCAATTTCTAAACAGAGCTACAGAACTTGCTTTCTTTATTAAAATAACTTTTTAATGTTTTCACCTACTCATTGTGAAGTAATTTACCACTAGACACTGGGATTCAGATCACACAAAACAGTAAGCCATGTGTATGATTGGCTTTTAGTTTTTTGAAGCTGATTGAGATGGAATATAATTGTACTCTAGTGTTACACAGAAAAAAGTGCTCTTAAATTTACATGAAAGCACCTTTCAATTGAATGGGTTGTGTCTGTGTTTTTGAGTCAGTTTTGACACCTGTTGACTGGACTAGCCTTGGTAACTAGCTTTGGCAATATGTTTGGACTTGGTTTGCTATTGCTTTTTTTTCCTGAGAGTGACTGGCCCCAAATCTACAAATGGCTTTCTGCTTAAAGTGAATCCTGTTGTTGTTAATTGCGAAGTCGTGTCCGACCCATCGTGACCCCATGGACAACATTCCTCCAGGTCTTCCTGTCCTCTACCATCTTCTGGAGTCCATTTAAGTTCACACCTGCTCTTCAGTGACTCATCCAGCCATCTCATTCTCTGTCGTCCCCTTCTTCTATTGCCCTCAATCTTTCCCAGCATTAGGCCCTTCTCCAGTGAGTCCTTCCTTCTCATTAGGTGGCCAAAGTATTTGAGTTTCAACTTCAGGATCTGGCCTTCTAAAGAGCAGTCGGGGTTGATCCCTTCTAGGACTGACCGGTTTGAACGCCTTGCAGTCCAAGGGACTCGCAGGAGTCTTCTCCAGCACCATAGTTCAAAGGCCTCAATTCTTTTGCGCTCAGCCTTTCTTATGGTCCAACTTTCACAGCCATACATTGAAACTGGGAAAACCATGGCCTGGACTATACGTACTTTTGTTGGCAGGGTGATGTCTCTGCTTTTTAGTATGCTGTCTAGATTTGCCATAGCTTTCCTCCCCAGGAGCAAGCGTCTTTTAATTTCTTGGCTGCAGTCCCCATCTGAGGTGATTTTGGAGCCCAGAAAAATAAAATCTGTCACTACTCCATTTCTTCCCCATCTATTTGCCAGGAATTGAGAGGGCCGGATGCCATGATTTTGGTTTTCTTAATGTTGAGTTTCAAGCCAACTTTTGCACTCTCCTTCTTCACCCGCATCAAGAGGCTCTTTAGTTCCTCTTCACTTTCTGCCATTAGAGTGTATCATCTGCATATCTTAGGTTGTTGATATTTCTCCCGGCAATCTTAATTCCAACTTTTGATTCATCTAGCCCTGCCTTTCTCATGATGTGCTCTGCATATAAGTTAAATAGGCAGGGCGACAGTATACAGCCTTGCCGGACTCCTTTTCCAATTTTGAACCAATCAGTGGTTCCGTGTCCAGTTCTCACTGTTGCTTCTTGACCCGCATATAGAAGCAACAATGAGAACTGGACACGGAACCACTGATTGGTTCAAAATTGGAAAAGGAGTCCGGCAAGGCTGTATACTGTCGCCCTGCCTATTTAACTTGCGAGTCCCTTGGACTGCAAGTCGTTCAAACTGACCGGTTTGAACGCCTTGCAGTCCAAGGGACTCGCAGGAGTGTTCTCCAGCACCATAGTTCAAAGGCCTCAATTCTTTGGCACTCAGCTGTAGTGAATCTACAGCAACTTTAAGATGTAGGGACTTCAACTCCCTGAATTCCTCAAATCAGCATGCTGACTGAGAAATTCTGGGAGTTGAAGTCCACACATCTTAAAGTTACCAAGGTTGAAAAAAACATTGTCTAGTGCAGGGGTCTTCAAACTTGGCCCTTTTATGACTTGTGGACTTCAACCCCCCCCCCGAATTCCTCAGCCAGGCACGCTAGCTGAGGAATTCTGGTAGTTGAAGTCCACAAGTCATAAAAGGGCCAAGTTTGAAGACCCCTGGTCTTGTGTGTGCCCTTGTGCTTGTGCTTGAACCATTTTAAACCAAAATGGCTCTTGGTTGAATGTTACTATATAGGGAAAAAATCACCTAATAGAGAATGTAGTTGAGAGGAGAATCAGTTACCAAGACAAAGAGTGTTTCACTGAAGTCTCTTCACTGATTTTGTTTCAAGCAGCAGCTGAACAGCCATCTGTCAAGGATTCTTTCCTTTGGATTCCTGCAATGAACTGAGGGTTAGCTTCAGTGACCCTTTTCATTTCTATGATTCTATGAATAAACTAAAGTTGACTGGCTTTTGCAACTGTCTAAATATATATAAATCTAATATATACTTTTTCATTACATTTTTTGGAGTCTGACATTCTTCTTTTCATGGCATTAGACTGAATAGATAACCCAACAGTCTTTAAACAGGGGATTTGATGCATACATGGAGAATATCATAAAGAGCATTAATGATGAGAATTATATACACATATTAAGAGATAAAGTTCAATTACCAAGGTTATAGTGAAGCGTTAAGACATCAATCAACATAAAATGCTAGATCTCTGATCCAAGGCAGCACAATGCATCGTTGTTGTTATAGCTTCCTTTTGGGATAAATTCAATTTTAGTTTTCAATATTGTATACATCATTTCTGCTAAATTTTATTATGCTAGAGTAGACTATTTATGTTGAATGACATCATAGCAAATCTGTAATTATTTTCCTTTGTCATAGAAATGAGGTTACAAACCTCAGAAGGATTGACCTGTACAATTCTTACAAAATAATGCTATAAATCCTATAATGTATAGAATTACATCAAAATATTTTATATGCACATTATTTATATATTACTACAGAAGCTACAGTTTTATTTAACATTAAATACACTTTCTTTTTTAATACAGGCAAAAGAAAACACAGAAACTCCACAAAAAAAGTTATCTTGCGTATTTAGGATAAGCTCTTGTGCGCAAGCGCATATCATTCCTCGGTCAGAGGGAAACAAGTTCGTAGTTATAGCCTCCGTTGCATTGTGGGTATTATCCTTCTCCCTCCCCCCCGCGAGGCTTACGCTACAGTAGTGATCAAATACTGTACGTCTCCTTTAGGACTGAATTTCAAGAACCTCGACGGAAGCTTCTCATTGGATGTCCGGCACTATATGCTGATTGGCTATAGAGCGAAGCCTTGGCTTAAGGCGGGCGGAAGTCCTGCAGGCGGAAGTGGAAGTTGACGTTACTGTGGCATCGCAGATAGAAGGATGGTGAGACTTGCGAATGGGGAGAGGGAGCTAACGGAGAAAATTTTATTTCTGTTTAAGAATAAGAGTTAAGAATAAGAATTAAACTCATTGTTAGTTAAGGATAATTAGGGCTACTTGTTTCAGCACATTTATTTTAAAATAATTTTGTATTGCCTTTAATGAGGCTTGCTCAGAGGCGTGAATTTAGGATTGTCCCTTTGTGGCTATGCTGTTTCACTCATGAGTAAATCTCAGTAGTAGCATGAGTTATGCAATTTGAGTCTTTTAGGATTTTGGAACTGAAGTGGGGTAAAGTATTAGGGGCTAGCTTGTTTTGTGAGAGAGTAGTTTCTACATAAACCAGGAAAATAAAATGTTATTAAACTATAGATATTTCTCTCCAGTTTAATTTGGTCTATAGCTGTTTGTTTTTATAGTGCTGCTTTTTATTGTTATAAAAACAATTCTCACCGGGAGAATGTATTTAGAGATATGTTTAAACCATCTCAAATAAGTGTTATTCCTTGTTAGGCTTTAGAGAGCCTGCTAACATTACTTTGATTATTTTAGGGTTTACTGTGAAATAATTGAACGATTTTCCTGGAAATATATCCTGCCTTAGCATAAGCAAGAAGATGTTGGTGGTTGTAAAGCTAGTCATCTGTTTATGATGTGGGATTAAATACAATTTTGGTCTGTCCATTGTTCTTAATTTGACTTCTTCCAATTTGGTTTTAGAAATTGAGACTATGTTGC